CGGCTCTGTGTGTGACAGGGTGCGGCGCCCCAACGCCCTGATCGGCCCTGCACTGTGTGTGACGGGTGAGCTCCCCAACCCCCTGATCGGCCCTGCTCTGTGCGTGACAGGGGGTGGCGCCGCAACCTCCCTATCGACCCTGCCTTGAGTGTGACAGGGGTCGGTGCCCCAACCCCCGAATCGGACCTACCCTGAGCATGACTAGGGGTGGCATTGCAACCTCCCGATCCACCCTGCTCTGTGCATGACAGGGGGTGGCGCCCCAACTCCCCAATCGGCCCTGCTCTGAGCCCGACCAGGGGCTGCACCTAGGGATTGGGCCTGCCCTCTGCCACCCGGGAGCAGGCCTAAGCCAGCAGGTCATTATCTCCCGAGCGGTCCCAGACTGCGAGAGGGCACAAGCCGGGCTGAGGGACCCCCTCTCCCCCCCGAGTGCACAAATTTTTGTGCACCAGGCCTCTAGTCCTATATAATAAAAGGCTAATATACAAATCGATCAAACAGCTGAACGACTGGTTGCTACGACATGCACTGACCACCAGGGGGCAGATGCTCAATGCAGGAGCTGCCCCCTAGTGGTTAGTGCATTCCCACAGGAGGAGTGCCTCTCAGCCAGAAGCTGGGCTCACAGCTGGTGAGCACAGCGGCGGTGCTAAGGATGTCCAACTGATAGCTTAGCCCTGCTCTGGACATCCCCTGAGGGCTCCCAGACTGTGAGAGGGCACAGGCCAGGCTGAAGGACCCCCCCCCACAAGTGCACAAATCTCATGCACCATGCCTCTAGTTGTTACATAATGTAAATATGGAAAAAGGCAATGTTTTTAATGAATATACTACCTTACCTAGCATGTGATTATATTTTTATTATGTATATTATAGATACTAAAATTTAATGGATAAACTCCTTTAACATGTTTTATATATATTACATATATAGTTTTTCCTATATAATAAAAGCCTAATATTCAAATAGACCAAACGGCCGAACAACCGAATGGCTTGGTATGACGTGCGCTGACCACCAGGGGGTGCAGGCGGAACATGGCAGGCATCAGTAGCAGGAGGCAGAGCACAAAACATGGAGGGTGTCAGCCGCAGCATGATGGTGGAGCAGGTAAGTAAGGATGCCAGACCAAGGTGGGCCACTGGTCACTGTCATCAGGGCGAGCCTCTAGTGCAGTGAAGGCGAACCTTTTGAGCTCGGCATGTCAGCATTTCGAAAAACCCTAACTTAACTCTGGTGCCGTGTCACATATAGAAATTTTTTGATATTTGCAACCATAGTAAAACAAAGATTTATATTTTTGATATTTATTTTATATATTTAAATGCCATTTAACAAAGAAAAATCAACCAAAAAAATGAGTTCGCGTGTCACCTCTGACACGCGTGTCATAGGTTCGCCATCACTGCTCTAGTGGTTACTGAAAATTCTTTGCTCCTGTGTGCCACAGTCCTGCCTAGCATTCGTACCTGCTACTGGTGCTGGCCCTGCTCACACCTGCTGCCAGCACCGGAGCTGCAGCTTGCATGCACTGCTGGCACCAGCCCCGCTAACAACTGCAGCTGGCACCAGAGCTGCCACTTGTACCCATTGCTGGTGCTTGGCATTGGTCCCGATCACTCCGCGCTGTCAGCGGTTGTGAACGGTGGCTGCCGGCCCCAGTAGCCCCTGAGGGCTTCTCCACCTCCCCCTGAGGGGCGATTGGGGCAGCAGCTGCCACTCGCACCCGCTGCTAGTGCTGGCCCCAATCGGTTCGCACCATCAGTGGGTGTGAGTGGGGCTGGCACTGTCAGCATGTGGAAGCGGCAGTGGCGGCGGGAGCAGGACTGTGGTGGGAGGGTCCGGGTGGGACCACAGAGGATAGGCCGAGACCCACCCCTGTGCCCACTGCAGCCTCGCGGCCCACAGTTCTTTTCATGGTACACAAATTCATACAGTGGGCCCCTAGTATATGTAGATATTCTAAAATTGCAGTTAGTTGTTAATTGTATTTATGTCCCAAAGTGTGTACATATTCAAGTTGATAAAAAAAATTTTTTGTAATCTTCTCATTGGGCATAAGACAAATCACCTAATGTTCAAGTTTACCTTATATTAGTCATGTAATTCTGTATAATAAAAGGCTAATATGCAAATTGTCCCTTGGGAGTTCCACTAACAACTGCTTGCTATGACGTGTGCTGACCACCAGTGGGCGGCATGGAACAAGGGAAGCCCTGGCTGGCAGCCAGGGAAAGGAAGGCCCAGATTGGCTGTAATTGCTGGCCAGGCCTAGGGACCCTACCCATGCACAAATTTTGTGCACCGGGCCTCTAGTTTAATTAATAATGTATAGTGATTAATAGTGCATGTTTTGGGGCCACTGCCTGGATTTACATCCTTCCACTTATTAGCCTTGTGCCTCACTTTTCTCATGTGTAAAAGCAAGAAGTAGTGTCTGAGATAATGCATGTAAGGCTCAATGCCTACTAGTAAGTATAAAGGGTTCAATAAATGTTTGCAGTTATTATCAGTGGTGAATTTATATGGGTACAGAAGCAGTAGGATTTTGTCAGCAACCAAATGGACTTTTAAAAAACTGTAATGATTGAACTTGAACAAACTATGCATTTCTGAGATCAATTGCACACATTCACTCTGATGCTTCCCTGATGATTCTGTATTATTCTATTATTTGCCTCTTGGTACTGTGGAGTGTATTAAAAGTATGTTTTCATCTCTGTGTCAGATTTCCCAAATTGGGCTTGTCTGCACTGGACATTTAAGTCTCACAAATACCTTTTGATAGCACACACTATTGGTTAAGAATCACTCATATGTTACAGTAGCTGTAATTGAAAATTGTGGACAGTACTAGCCATATTTGATTTTTCTTGGTGTTTTCATGTCATTTCAAACAGTAAAGAAAACGTGTTCATCTTTTTGCTTTATCTTCCTTTCTCCTTTCTCTTTCCCCAACACATGGAATTTATCAGGAGACAGTGCATAAGATGAATTGTAGAAAATATGTTTATTTGCAAAGAAGGAAAATGGCAGTGTCTAGTCATATAAAACAGTTGCCATATGATATTTCTGAAAATCATAGAGGAATCAGATTTTATTAGACTCAGTGAGAGAGAAGCCTAGAAATTACTATGAGTGTAATATACTTCCTTTAGGCAGTTTATCTTTTATATTTTACAGTTATAATTCTCTATGACCCTCTCAGTTATAGACACTTCAAGCTACCACTGCTTATCATTATAGTTTAACTCTTTGCTATTATAAAGAATGTCATGTTAAACTTTATTTTATTATAAGATAGTATTTATCAGGCTAGATATAGCTGCTCTGAGAGCTTTAAGCCAGACAAATTTAAATATAAATTTTAAACATTCTTGGTTTAACATTATATCTTGCCGTTTGTAGTACACATGCCTAAGGTACAGAATTCTAATTTTTTACTTTTATCTGATTTTCACATTGGTGTCTTGATAATAATGATGTCTCACCTGAGATAAGTCACTAAATGAGAGAGGTGGCCATGTGGGAGCCGTGCACCCTAGCCTGTAGCCCTTGGGCAGCAGCAGCACACCCTTTCTTAAATTGTTATTCTTATTTTCATTCTTTTCTGTGTCAGAGAATGCATGTTCTCTGAGCAGAGAATTCTTACTGGAGAGAGTAGGTTACGCTATCTTTTTTTTTAAATATATTTTTATTGATTTCAGAGAGGAAGGAGGAGGGAGAGAGGGCTAGAAACATCCATGATGAGAGAGAATCATGGATTGGCTGTCTCCTGCAAGTCCCCCACTGGAGATCGAGCCCACGACCCGGGCATGTGCCCTTGACCAGAATTGAACCTGGGACCATTCAGTTTGCAGGCCGACACTCTATCCACTGAGCCAAACCGGCTAGGACAGGTTACTCTATCTTAACCATAATACTTTTCATGTACTTAGATATGACTTTTTGTTATTATGATTACTAATTATAATACTAATCAAGCTCTTCCTTAAATGAGGATAATTTTATAAATATCAGAGACATGTGATATCAAACTTATGATTTTCATTAAATTCTGCAAATTAAGGTCTGGAAGTCATAGATAAACATTTTTGTCTTTTGATTTTGCATTAGGCAGTCAAGATGTTTTTGACTCTCCTACAGTCCTAAATTTGCAGAATTTAATGAAAATTACAAGTCCCCTACTGTCCAAGATCATGAATTTTCCCCCTGGAAGTAAATATAAACATTTATTGACTGTTGCTAAGATTTTATTAGAGAAAGATTGACATAATTTAAAAGAATGGTTGATTTTAGGCTTATAAATATTATTTCGTTCCTGGACTATCTCTAAAAGCTCTTTCCATTAACTCCAAAATTGACTTCTATACTAACTGCTGTTAACATATACTCCTTCCCAGTCTCTGGAAATTAAATGTGTCAACTTCACATTAAAATTGGGAAAGGGCCCTAGGTGAATAGCCTGCATTCACTGAGATATATTTAAAGTGAACAAAAATAGACTGCTCTTCACAGACAAATCAGGTCAGCAAGTGCCTCAGAAAATTACCAACACACCCTTTGTTTGACTGGCTTCACATAATGAAAATTAAAGGGAAATCAGAATGGACCCGAACCTGGAGATTACTCACTCCCCCCCCCCCCCCCCCCCCTCTGATTTTACAAATGAGGATCTGAGGCCAAGAGAAGTGAAGAAACCTATTCTAAGACCTAACTTTCACATGCTGTCATGACATTTCTGACCCTCACAGGGTCCCAAAATCTAGCCATGAGCTCCTCTGCTCTTGCCAGATGTGCCCCCTACCCCATTTGGAAAGGCTCCCCACCAGCCTGGTTCCCTGATTAGCCACACTAGCTACACCCTCACCTGGTCCTCAACTTAATTGATCTTACCTTCCTACAAGCTGGTGAAATTATTCAAACAAATCATATCCCCCCAGGGGAGGCAGGGATGACCCCACCCAGCTGATGCTACAAAGTCTACCTCCCATAGCCCCTGCTTGGTCACTCTGTTCTGGAGTGCAATCTCCACGTGGCCCTGCAGGGTTTGTGCTGTCCTCTTCATAGGGGATGTGAGTGTGACAGGTGTCAATGTTCAGCCAATCACTCCTTCAACAACAGGGTAAACAGAAGGTGTTCAGACAAGGGATTTGATCAATTTTACTCTAAGGTAGATACTGTTACTATCCTCAGTTTACACAGGATGACATGGAGGCACAAAGAGGTAAGTGGCTTGTCCAAAGTCACATGACTGCTGAGCAGTAGAGTTAGGGTTTGTACCTGGGCAGTTAGCTTCAGAGATTGTGCACTTAACTATACATTATTTTCTCTCTTTGACACCCACTCAATCTTTTTCTATATCACATATATTTTTGTGGTATTTTCCTGGATACCTCTCCTAAGTTTGGATTGCAGATTACAAAAAATTAAATGCAAATGATTGCATTGTAAGTAGTAATTCATTATCCCCAAGGACACAGCTAGCTTCAGATATGTTTGGATTCAGTAGCTCAAACAATTTTATACCTTCCAATGATCTCAGCAAGCATCCTCAAATCACAGCTCTTTGGCTCTGATTGAGCCTAGTGCCCGTTGCTGAAGTAACCATGGTGGCAGGGAGCATGAACGCTCTGATTGATCTGCCCAAATGAGTCATATGCCCACACTTGAAACAAGGGTGACATCAGTACAACCTGAACCACAGCAACTCGGCCTCAGGGAGGGTGGTCTCCATGCAGTATTACTAGACTCCCATTCACATTTTATTGGAGATTTTTTTTGAAAGGGCTTTGTTTTTATCCCCTTTGGAACAAATATGCAAGCAAAATTACTGTTTCTAAAAATGTTTTGCTTATAATGGTTCTTGTAATAATAAAAGCTAACTTTGACTTAGTGTTTTCTATATACCAAACACTGTCCTAAGTATTTTACATATATTGCTCAGTTACTCTTCACAAGAACTCTGTGGGGCAAATGCTCTCATGTACTGATGAGAAAACTGAGATGTAGAAGCGCCTGGTGTACCTGGAAGAGACTGTGATGACTCACCCTCATTGATCCAGTTTAGAAGTGGTACAGTCAAGATTCTCACTCAGGGAGAT